GAGAGAGAGAGAGAGAGAGAGAGAGAGAGAGAGAGAGAGAGAGAGAGAATGTGTTTCTTGGGGGACTAGAAATGTGTTTTTCCCCCAAGAGGAAAATTATGATTGCAAGGAAAAAAAGGAGGGTCTCATTAGATAAAATGAACAAAATTAAGAATGGCACTCTTGAGTAACCAAGTTTCATTCACAACTATGGTTTTTATTTTTAGAAAAGGACGTTCATTGCTATAAAAATCTTTTTAAAAGAAAAGTACAACAAACCTTTTTACCAGATACAGGCCCAGCAGACCAGTTCATTATTTCTTTGGGTATTTATTAACAGTATGTCCATATGATGACTACTGGCAGTTTACAAAATTACAAACAACATAAATGTATCATACAGAACATTCCCGTATGCTAAACCTGGCATCCCATAATACCCCCTGCTCTTCAACCGTTAAAAGCTCATTATAAACAAGTGTTTTAATAATAGGAAGGAAGAAATCCCACTGCAACCATGATGGTAGAAGGGAAAATACTTATCCTGGCCAACACTGGCTTTGTTGCTGGCCCCATCACTTCTGGTTCTCTGGTTGTTTAGGTTCTCTCTGAGCTGCAACCTCTGGATTTCAATGGTGGGCTCTATCTCTAGCCTAACCATACAGTAAAAGCTGAAGCACCATTTCTACACTGAAGAAGGAGGAGACAGACTCCAAAGCATCTGATCTGAAGCTTAAGATCCAGTTCACACATTCAAAAATATGATAGTCTTTCCTTACTTCTACCTCTCTGCTGTTAGGGGTGAAAAAGGAAAAATCTTCACGCAGAAGAAACCAAGAACTAGAGTGAACAATAATGTAACATCGCAGCTCCAGAGCTGTTACGCTCGGGACAAACCTGTAGATGTTTGTTACATCAGCAAACAGATGTGAGAAGGGAACAGAGGACGAGGTGCACCAGCTGGTTCACAATGGGGATGCCCTGGGATTATAAGAGGAACAAGTTTCCAATCCCCCCAAAAGGGAGATCAGCTTCTTTTCAGTTTGACAATGGCATGGTGAGAGACCCAGTCAAAGATTTCCTCAGTCCAAGAGGTTCAGAATCCTACTCCTCCTTCTCTACATGATTATCTTAGAAAAACTTCCTTTTCTGGGAACCTGGGCCATTTTGATAATGCAGTGTAAGTACACATTTCCATTTGCTTACCTTTGTCCTTCAGTACATGACTATTTCATCCTTTATCCCCCCACCCCTACCCCATCATTATAGTTTTGTTTGTAGGAACCTTGTTGAGTTTATGTCAGTCTGCAAAGCGTGATATAAATACGAACAATCTAAGCCTGGACGTATAGTTATTCAGCCGCAAAGGAAAAACACAATCGTGATGCACAGACATATTCTCTTTATACAGTTTGCACATGAAAGGGGCCAGATCACCTTTGTCTAGGCATCCTGGTGTGCAATTTGGTTTCCAAGACTAGAAATGGATTAAATCAAATACCCTGGCAGTTAAGGATTCTCAGCAGCAGATTGAGAATGGAGTTATCTCCCTGCGTTGTCTAAAACTAAAGGAGATGGTAACACAAAAAACAAAATATTATTCACAAAGCAGAAGAATATCTACTCTAGCTGCAAGAAATAAATGGAAACATCTTTAATATCGCTATGGCTTATTCCTTCAAAAGCATAAAGCACAACTACTGTATTGAGAGTTGCAATTAGCGATCACCTTACTGAAATTCTCTCTCCTCAGTCCCCGAAGCTGCTATTCTATAATTATTTACCTGGAAGCAAATCCACTGAACTCAATGGGGCTACTAAGTAGACATGTATAGGATTTTACTATGGTTACTCTCTTATTCATCACAAAGTCAAAACTGGACAAGTGCTAGTGAATTTTTTCTTAAAAAGGCTTCTTATAAGAACCACCTGCTAATGGTAAACCAATAAAACACTCTAATCTTGAAAGCAAGCTTCTTAAAAATAGGATTCTTACAAATCAGCGACAGCAACTCACCTCACGAGTTTTAGATATGGGAACAGGTTTCTTTATTGTAACACTTTCCTCTTAATATTGTCTCTTTTCTCACAAATAGATTTATACCTGAATCATACAAATTATTTGAATGAGATGCTGTATTTATTTTATCAGTGCTTTACCCTAAGGCTGGATGTATGTAGCCCATACAGGCTATATCTCAAAGGGGGTGTTTACAAGGTCAGTTCATGTAGATTGGTTACCTTTGGGCTATTCTTTTGTCTAAATAATCAGATAATTATAAGATTAATTTGGATCCAGGGTGCAGTGAGTAAAAATCTGGGATTTCAATCTGTTAGGAAGGAATTTAGAGCACCGAAACATGATGTGCTTACTTCATCTGGATGAATCAGTTACAAGAGTTTGATTTTGCAAATGTTTCTAAAGAATGAATGATATTCTTTGAACAAAACTGGAACTTTTTAGCCACTGAATCTAGCCAGTCATTCTGAACCCAAAGAAAAAAGAGTGACTCTTCGAATGCCAGTTTTGTTTTGCTTAGATTAAAAACAGGCACTCCATTATGAATTAAGTCTCCTGGGGAACAGATAGCCATAAAGAACCAAAAAGAGAGATTTGCATGAAAACACAAAAAGGTTCCCTCATGGAGGAAAATGCTAAAAAACAAAACAAAAAAAACTTACCCCAGATCAGAGTAAACAGATGGGCCTTGGGAATGAGGAAGAGAGAATACACAGCCCCACCATGAAGCAAGGACATTAGGATGACATTCCTCCACACGATATTTTGCTTCTGCTGGACTTTCTGATTGTTTGTTTCTTCTTTGGGTCCAAAAGGGCTTTCCGCTGATCCATTACAGGACGTTTCGGTCGCTCCATCCATCACACTCTTGGTTCCTAGCTTTGACATGATGGCCAAAAGGAAAACCACCGCACGGAGGACCTTCACAGACTGCAAAAGCCGGTAGAAATTCTCTGTTTTATTGGGGGGCTGGGAAGGCGGGAGGAGAAGGGGAGATGAAAGCCTATGGTTGTCTCTTGTTTTGGGGGTCGAGTTCCTTTTTTTCCCCCTTCTCCCTCCCCTGCTTCTCTCCCTTCCTCTGATCTTTTCCTTCCCAGGAACTGCTTTTAAAATTTGCCTAGGGATGCCACGACTTGGAGTGGAATAGCTGCCGCCAGCATCTCATCCATGCTGCTGCCGCTGTGGCAAAGCCGAACTCCACCAGCAACAGAAGATAAAAAAACGTGGGGGGGGGGGCAGGGGGAGAAGGAGAGTGAGAGAAAGGATGGGAGAAAAAACCTGCATAGCTACAGCCAATCGTATGCATGCTCTTAAAGGGATCCGGGAGGGAGAGCGATACAGAATCCCTGCCTGCTGCTGCTGCTGCTGCTGCTGCTGCTGCTGCTGCTGCTGGTACTTATCGGTTAGGTTGAATGGGCAGAAATTCTCCAGCTCCAACAAAGGATGCCATGCAGATGTTCCAGTGCAGCTGGAACAGGCTGAGAGAAGATTGGTTAGGGGTAACCCCAGGCAACTGGGGCTTTGTGAGCAAACCAGGGTTAAAACAAGAAAGGGTTAGGATGATCGATGGATCCAGACACTGAGTGGGGTAAGGCTACATGTATGTCTGCCAAATGAGACGTGGTTGGAATGTGCTATTAGTGCATTTTGAACCCTCCTGGTTTGCAAGAAAGGACCTTGCTATTAGGATCAAAGAAGTCATAATTCAGATGCAGGGATTTCTAAATATTCTTTTTTATAAGGATTCAGATGTAACACTGAAAATATGACATGCTGTATCCATATTCCCCAGCTTAGGCCCTTCCAGTTGCATTGGACTACAATGACAACAATCCCATAATGGTAAGAATAATATTTACAGGGGCACCAAGCCCACAAAAGCTAATTTAGGGTGTTATGAAGGATGCAGGTATATAAGAATTGTAACTGAAAATAAGCCCCTATGGAAGATGTTTAACAGTTTTCCCCAACCCATTATCCTCCAAACATATTGGACTACAGTTCCCATTGTCCCAGCCAGCAAGCCTGGTTGAGGATTATGTGAGTTATTGTCTGGGAAAGAAAGTCCTGTAGTTTATCCTTCACCTTAAAAGTCATCAGTAGAATATAACATCTTGAATGGCTCATACTTCATATTAAATCCCAAATTAATGTAAATAACTTTTTTTTTGGGGGGGTGCCTTTGAGTCAGTGCATGGACTAGCTACCATATCATTAAATGAGAGTTTGCATCAGGCTTTATACTGTAATCTAGAAACAAACCTTCTTCCTCAGGAGGAAGCCTTGCTGAACTTTAATGTAATTACTCAACTGCTTTTGAGTAGATTTATATAGACGGTGATACTTGATGTCTTACCATTTTGTACATCCAACACTTCATTTATCCAAATTCCTATTAAAGTCTATCTGATCCCAGTGACACTTCAATTAAACCCTTGAATTAGACAAGACATGGATGAGGTGCTAAAAGAGAAGAGAATAATCAGTCTCAATTATCAGAGTATGTGAAATATAAAATGGCATGTGGAAAGGAAGGAAGCAATGTTTTTTAGATGCCCTTGAGGTCAGATATGAATCAATGTATAAGACAGCCTTTCTCAATCTGTTGCTGACCAGGTACCTTAGGTTTATTTATTTATGATTTATTTATCATATTTATATAGCCACCCATCTCACACAAGGTGACTCTAGGTTCCTACAGAAGAGAATATATGTAGCTCAGGGTTGAACTATGGAGTCCTTGGTGCTCTCTGAGCTTGGTTGTTTGCTTGCAGACATTTCATTACCTGACTAAGTAACATCATCAGAACTGATGGTCTTACCTAGTTGGGGAATGAAACGTCTTCAAGCAAACAACCAAGCTCAGCATGACCAGGTACCTTAGGTTTATTTATTTATGATTTATTTATTATATTTATATAGCCACCCATCTCACACAAGGTGACTCTAGGTTCCTACAGAAGAGAATATATGTAGCTCAGGGTTGAACTATGGAGTCCTTGGTGCTCTCTGAGCTTGGTTGTTTGCTTGCAGACATTTCATTACCTGACTAAGTAACATCATCAGAACTGATGGTCTTACCTAGTTGGGTAATGAAACGTCTTCAAGCAAACACCCAAGCTCAGAGAGCACCAAAGACTCCACAGATACTTTAGGCTCCAGACTGTAGCCCCAGTAGATTGAGAAGGCTGCTTTAACACAAGGCAGGAACAATTCCATCTTGGTTGCTATTTGTCAAAATCAGACCAAGGTCAAGGAAAAAGCTGAAAGAGAACGAGAAAAAACAAAAGACGTCTCACAAACCCATGTCCTACATTCGTCTTCACTATGTGGTCCAAGCATCCTTGCACCTCTTCCTAGGCAGCTGATCCCTAAAGTAGGTTCTTGGTAACAAGAAGGATGAGTAGGAAATATACCTCTGGTGAGGCAAGTCCAGTTCCTCCCCAGTTTTTCCCATTCCTCATAGAGCAGCCAACTGGAGTGACAGATAAATCTTACTTCAACATAGCCAGTGGGATAGCATCTTATGATACAGTGTCCTTCAGAACCACAGGATAGTCTAGAGTGAAGTATGCCAACTGTGGCCATTCAGATACTGCTGAACTTTGGTTTCTAGCAGTCTTTAGTGTTTGAGTCCAGTGCATGGAAAAAATGCATACAAACAATGGAAAAATACATCATCATAGGATATAGAAATAGGGAGCATCAAATGAAGATTCTGCCTTGCCCAGCCTTTTTCAAACTGGCACACACAATTCTCTTTCAATGCACTGAAATGGTGGAGAGAGGCAGTCGCTGCTGTTGTGTCATTCTCCAGCATTGCCTCAAACTGCCTCATAGAAGAGTTAGTCCTAGGACGTTCTCAAACATAAGACAGCTTCCATTTCAGCCCTGTCACCTCAGGGAGGCAGTGAAGGACAGGAAGGCCTGGCGCAATATGGTTCATGGGGTCACGAAGAGTCGGACATGACTTAACGACTAAACAACAAATATGGGGAGGATCCGGGTTAAGAACACCTGGTTTATGGACAACCCATAGGTAAGAATGGAGCCTATTGTAGCAAAATTCAAGTTAAATATACAATGATTCGAGTTCATTACACAATACTACTTATACAGTATTATATAATAATGCTGTTCTGGCTTCCATACAAATTCAGCTTAAGGACAGACCTAGGGAAGGGAACTCATTCTTAAACTGGGGATTACCTGTATAGAAAAATATTAGATGCTGGGGTATCAAGCCACCTCCAGCATCAAAGACCACAGGGTACCTCCACATCATCAGGCAAAGGTTATGACTCCATAGAATCTGCTCCCTTGGACCATTTAACTAGACAGCTTGAAGCTGAACTTCTCCCTTCCTCTTTTACAGGCAGTGTGTACAACTAAGAACTTGGTATCTCCTGTATTTCATCTTCTTTTTCTTTTGTCATTTCCAATGGGGTAGATCAGGCTTCTGGGACAAGGAATTCTTGAAATTAAAAAATTCTAATATTGGCAGATGAACCCAAAGTGATATGATGGTGGTGCTAGGCCGGTGGGCAAAGGAGGTAGTAGTGACAGGAATAAAAGTGATTTATTGATCTCTTGTGTGTGTTTGTGTTTTGTTAAGCAAACAAAAATAATAGTGATTGCATACTAATGATACAAATTATGTTTTTTTAATCTTTCCTTGTTATAAAATCACATAATCTAATGCTAACATTTGTATTATAAACAGTCCAGAAATAGGGTATGATTAAAATAGGGTAGAAAAAGAGGCCTGGAAATTAATAAATAGCTCCAGTAAATTTGACCAAATTTATTTAATATTTTGTGGGAGGAGGTCTTCTGATGAAAGACCTAGGGCAGTTCAGACAGACTTTGCTCTTGTTCAGAATCAGTTCTGGACCTCCATAAATGGATGAAGATAATGCTTCATTTCAAGAACTGAATCGGCTTTTCCCCCCTGCCTTATTACATGGTTCCTTCAAGATTATGCAGCGATATTGGAGCAGCAATAGCTAGGAATCACAGTCAGTGTGAATTTAAAAGAATATAGAAAGGGGGGTTATCCGGGATATAGACCTAATTAGCACTCTGCACAGATGTTGCCTAGTGACCAAATGGCACCAATTAACTTAGCTGGGCTTCTTATATCGAGGGATTGTAGCATTTATAAACCTATGTGTTTGCCGAATATTTTCCCCTGGTAACCTTAAGCAATTGTTCTGTGCCTTTGGATTTCTTCCATTTCTGATTCAAGGTCTTTACTCCCTTAATTTTGTCAGTTTCTTGTTCAGAGACGCTGTGCTAATATTCAAGTGCCTATGTACAATTCTGCAATTTTCTCAAGGGGAGGGTATAGACTACACCAGGGTTCCTTAACCTCAGCAACTTGAAGATGGGTGGACTTCAACTCCCAGAATTCCCCAGCCAGACCTGGAATAGGCAGATGATGATGATGATGATGATGATGATGATGATGATGATGATTCAGTTACCCTGACCATCTTATTATCACCCAAGTGGTCCCCCATTAAGGCCAAACATGCTTAGTTCCAGCCGCAGAAATGCCATTTACTCTAGAGTTCACAAGTTTGACTGAAAACGGAAAGGCTTCTTTGAGGCTATGAATGGAAATGAAACACTATGCCTTAAGGCTACCAAATCAGGGCTGCAAAACTTTGAATCACCACTGGATGGCAGCAAACAATTAAACGTTTTTGTTCGCTTGTTTAAGAAACTCTTTGCTGCCATCTAACAATTGTCTGGATTTTGCAACAGAGATCAGGTAGCCCTAATTTATTAATCAGTGTGAAATCCAATCTACTCAATCAGTTTGTGGTTCCCAAAAGATGAAGGAATTGCTTGTCAAGAAATAAAGGTGATATCTTGAGAAGCAACGGATCTGAGCCTGGACAGGTTTTAAACAGCTTGGTTCACACATCACCT